GGGCTCGGTGCGCCAGCGGGCCCTACTCACCGCGCCGCGGAAAGCGAAACGAATCAACGAAGAAGGATAAGAAAGGGAGAGAAAGAGAGAGAGAGAGAGAGAGCGAGAGACAAGGGGGAGAAAGAGAGAGAGAGATAGCGAAACAAAACAGAGAGAACAAACAAGAAGAACGCAAAACAAGAGAACAAAACAGAGAGAACAAACAAACCAAAACAGAGAGATAGCGAAAGAAGAACGCAAACTGGCGCCGTCCGCCGGCCGCTCGCCCGAGGCCGCTGATGTCCGCGGCACCGCGGCGCGTTGGCGGCCGCCCGCGGGGCGCGCTTGGCCACGCCAAGGGGGCCCGGCGGGCCTCTCGCGCTCGGGCCCCCGCGGCCCCGTGCCGCGCCGCTGCGGAGTGCGGGCGGCACGCGCCGCGCCGCGGCCGCCGCGGTCGGCGCACACGCCGCCGCTGCTGCTGCTGCTGCTGCTGCTGCTGCTCCTCCCCCTCCTCCTCCTCCTCCTCCTCCTCCTCCTCCTCCTTCCCTCTCCTCGCTCCCTCTCCTCCTGCTCCCCTCCCTCCTCCTTCTCCTCCTCCTCCTCCTCCTCCTGCTGCTCCTCCCCTCTCCTCCTCCTCCTCCTCCTCCTTCTCCTCCTCTGCTCTCCTCTTCCTCCCCTTCTCCTCTCCTTCCTCCTCCTCCTCCTCCTCCTCCTCCTCCTCCTGCTCATCTCCTCCTCCTCCTCCTCTTCCTCCTCCTCCTTCTTCTTCCTACTCCTCCCTTGTGAGAAGGCAGGGCTGTAGCACCACAAATCGCAGGGGATCTTCGAAGCGCGTAGATCACCTGAGTAGGTGCTCTGCCGTTGTACCCCCTTATGCGGATGCCCTTGTCCTCCTCCTCCTCATCCTCCTTCTCCTCCTCCTCCTCCTCCTCCTCCTCCTCCTCCTGCTCCTGCTCCTCTCCAGACGGGCTGCCCTGGTGGCCGAGGAGCTCCGGGCCCAGGAGGAGGCCCGCGCAGCGCCGGCTGCTGGTCCAGCCGCCGCGGTGCCGCCCGGTGGCGCCCCGCGGCGAGGCCGTCGCGCGCGGAGGGCCCGCGCTCGTGTTGGTGAGGACGACGGCCCGGCTGTTGAAGGGCCTTCCCCGAGGAGGAGGGGGCCGCGGCGGTGGCCGAGGCGGCGGCGGAGTGGGCGGAGACGGCCGCGGGTGCGGCGGCTGGAGCTGGCAGGCCTGCTGCGGAGGGCAGCGGCGGCGCTGGTGCCGGCGGGGCGCCCAGGAGCCTCGCGCTCGCGCGCGTGCCGCAGGCCGTGGCGCCGTAGAGCGAGACGGTGGGCGCGCTGCCACCCTGGGGCCCTGCGCCGAGCCCGCCGCGCGGGCCTCCCGGCGGCCTCGGCGGCCGCGCCCGCGCTCGGCGCCGTGCCTGCGGAGAGCTGGGCGGGCCGCGGCGCGGGCGAGCCCGAGGAGCTGGCCCCCCCTGTGTCCAGGGCGAGCCCGCGGCAGGCGCAGAGGGTGCAGCCCTCCCCCCGAGGCTGCACGGGGGGCGGCGGCTTCAGGGTGCGGCCCCAGCGCAGGGTTCCACGCCGAGGCGTGCGCCGCCCCTGCGGGGGGCGTGGCTCCGCGCGGGAGTGTCGGTCTCAGGGTGCGGCTCCGTGTGCTGGCGGCCCCAGGGCTATCACCACCCACCAAACCACCCAAACCCAACCCGAAGGCTCAGATTTACCCTCGATTTCCAGTCGGGGGGGGGATCGGGAAACATCGAAAAAACACATTTGGAACCCTTACCCCCCCCAAACAAGAAATTCGGGTCTTCGGGTTGGGTTGGGGTGGTCTGGTAGGTAGTCAGGTTAAGTCGGGCCTGCCCATCATCTACAAGGGGAATATCCAGAAATAGTCCAAACACAGTCTGTGGACTATTTGTTTAGTTGTTTTGACCATTTGAAATGCTTTGTTTGGTGTGTTTAACTCTTCGCCCAAAATCCCCCTGCAGTGGGGGACAGGCCCGACTTAACACCAGAGTGCGGCCACGGGTCCAGTCATCCGCGGGGGGGGGGGGGGGGCCAGACCTTCCAGAGAGCTATTTTTTAGCACTGGAGACCTAAAAACCTAAAAATCTGAGGGAAACAGCCTAAAACCAAGATGTATAATAGCTCTGGGATAGGTTTTTAAGTCGGGTGCCATTTTTTAGCCCTCCTGGAAGGTCAGGCTGGGCGGGGTGGGCGTTCGGCCGCAGGGCGCTGCCCCACGGGGGCCTCTCCGGCGAAGCGCCGGGTGGTCCGAGCGGGGCGGGGCGGGCGGGCGATGCGCCCCGTGCCCTGCTGCGATCGGTCGCGTCGCCCCGCGGTGACACGTGCGGCGGTGTCAGCTGAGAGAACAACAAAAAACAACAACAACAACAACAACAACAACAACAACAACAACAACAACAACAACAATTACTAGCACGTGGGGACACTCCGTTCTCACCAGTGCCAGGGTTTTCATAGGAGGCGGGCAATACCCCCACTTTGTGGGGGGGCCGGTTCAAG